AAATCATCGTGAAAGAGCTCCATGTTGTAAGACATCGCTTCGCGTCGAGTTCAGCGAGACTGCTGCAACAGTCCAGGCTACTGAACGATACCCTCTGCACAAATTCCCCCCAAAGTTTGTTGAGAAAATGGCTGTGGAGACAGGATCAACTCATGGCGCAAGCCTGCACTTCCATCCGGGCAATCTAAGAATTGCAAAAAACCCTCGCAGTGCGCCGCAACAATGTCCAACGAAGAAAGAGTCCTCAAGATCGTTGATGAGACGTGACAGATCCCCTTGTTAGAGGCTCTGGCCATCTCAAACGGTTTATTTTCGGAAAGCAGTTTGGCACAAGGACGCTACTAGGAGCAAAGGGCATCGCTACTAGTAACAAGGACCCTACTAGGGGCTCCGGGCCTTACTACTAGGAGCAAGGACGCTACCTCTTTGGCTCTTTGGGCCTTCAAAGACGTCATGTGCACGTGTCCACCGGTAGTGGGTTTCTGGTCCGGTGGCCTGTGCCTTGCAGGCCATTCGTTTCCCAAACTGTGGTGCAAAGCATGCCAGGGCACTTAGGCCTATTCGCTAGTCTGTACAACTGAAGGATAGCCAAGAGAGGCCAATGTGGATTTCACAAGGGGCTCGGGTTTCTAGGACAGTTCCATTCAAGCCAATTGACAGGAAGATTCTTCGAACATGCATCCAATTGACGAGCAGCGTCGAGGCTGAGGCCCAGGCGGATTTGGAGAAACTTGCCAGCCGTTTCGCCGGCAAGCAGCGTGCGAAAGGAAGTTTCACCCGCATCTGCTCTCAGATTATCACCATTTACAGCCCATGTATGCCCATGTCATTTATTACAGGATCAGCATCGTAAAGGGACTCTTGCACAGTATGCTCACAGTATGCACAGTCTAACTCACGGTCTATTCTCCGACACAAGTGCGCCCAAGTAAACATAGGTAATTTGAGTCGCCTGGTGCTCTTGCTGTTTGCGTGTGAGATCTGGTGTGCAAAATCAACTGGAGTACCCTGAAGATCCCTCAAGGAGTATCTGAGTATCTTTGATGCGGATCAAAATTCAGCAGCTCCCTCGACCACCAGATTCATACGACTAGGGGCGAAAGAGGTGCATGGTCACCATGGGGTGGAAGTCCACGGACTTCTGATCCGGGTCTTCCTTGCATGGCGGCTTCAGGGCTTCAGGGTGGTCGGGTGTGATGGCCCAGGTACGGCATGGCACCTGAGCGGACCCGCGTGGTGCACAAGGAGCGATCTTTCACTGTACCCCTCGATCGATCCTGAGACGAGCACGCATGGTGCCCTTCTTCGGGTTGGTGCCAATTCAGGAAGGGGCCTTACGACCACATCCTGTCGAGACGAAGGATGATGAAGGGTGTGATCCGATCAACTATTTCTCATCAACAGCTTCAACCCACAGGTCCTCCATACCTGGCACACCATTCAGCCCTTGTCTTGAAGGTCGCATCGCCATCATTCTCCGAGGCTCCAGGTCCTCCAGAAACATCACAAAGTCTGCATCCTCTGCTTTTAAAGCTGCCGTTTTTTGGCGTACACGTACACTCCATAAGATTGGATATGTTGTACGCACAGCCACAAAATGACGCAAGTTGTGTGGGTCGCTTCCTCCAAATCTTCAAGCTCTGGCATCTCTGCTCCAGATGCTGTGGTAGCATCGCTGAAGACCTGATCAAGCATGGCATCTTTCTGCAGCTGGTCCTGCACAAATCAACCCAAAAGCGCTCGGAAGGGCACACGAATACCTACACCTAGCCAATCTTTGGAACAAACTGTTCTTGCTCAATCTTCCAGAAGGAGCCTCGAAATCATCGTGAAAAGGCTCCATGTTGTAAGACATGGCTTGGCGTCGAGTTCAGCGAGACAGCAGCTACAGTCGAGTTCACGACCCCCCTAAGTCCGTCCTGGTGAGCCACGGCCGACGAACATGTCGTGAGGCGACCGTGAACGGCTTGCTTCGTCGGATGAAGATGTCAAACAACCCCCAGGTCTGAGTTTTCGCCCGTGCCTGCATCTTGATGCAGGGGATGCCAAGCCGAGGTACGCCTAAGACCTGGAACCACAAGTCTCCACCAAATTGGCAAATCGACCACCCTGCCCTCAGCCACACACAGATCCCACGTAGTAGCCCCGCAAGAGCTTGAAACCTGCCCGCTGGAGTACACAAGGCACTTCTACTGCCGAGAAACGCGTCCTGCGAAGCCAACTCCGTGAATGAGGCGGTACTTCTCCTGGAGGAGGGCGCTTCAATCATTTCACTTCAATGAACATCTTGAGCCTCGCATGGCCTCGCTGCAACCGAAATCAAAGCCACTTCGCCCCGTGTCTCTGACAGTTCTGCACTCTCTGACATGCCTTTGGCGGGCTCCTCCTCAGTCATTTCTTGAACCGCACGCTTGGCCCAGTCAGGATCCGTCACCTTGGCACCCAGGCATGCCAAGCCTTACACCTTTTCGTCATCACCGATTGATCATCTGTCCGTCACACTGATGTGAAATGGGCACCCTTGCATCCGGAACAGGCATCGCATGCTCCTCACAGAAACCTGGAGGTAGACCAATTGCACCTCCCAATTCACGAAGAGTGTCAGCACTGAACCAGCGAAGGAATGATCGACCAAACGACCCTTCAAGTGAATCGGCCTTTTCGACTCTTGCACCCTGACGACGTCATTTATTGCATCTCAGGGAAAAACACACACTTAAACAGGAAATTTGCATTTGGCTAGCTCTGGAGCAATTAATCATCACCCGGCAAAGAAGTACATAGATTCTTCGACAAGATATGGCTAGAATATGAACATAATGTATAAATATATGTATACGTATTGAATATATATATATATATATGTGTGTGTGTGTGATTGGCACATCAGAGTGTGTTGAGAATGATTGCAGCTCCGAGCAATATGGACCTCCAAAGTGGCCTTTTAAAAACTGTTGCTCAACATGCTTTTGGAGCGCTGTCATTAGTGGTTCATTTAGCAATCAGGACGGAGGCTGTGGATAGGTTTGCACGTTGCTCGCAGTGCCTCTCTAAACATCTTTGAACTTATCCAGGAACCCATCCATGCCAGAAGAAAAAACTAGGTGCACTAATTGGTGCTACTGGTAGCAGTTGAATTCGGCGCTCGCCATGCTCGTCATGCTCGTCTGTCGCCGGTGCTTGCAATACGTCATGGCCTCTGTGAAGTGACTCTCCTCTTCGTCTCCTCTCCTCTTCGACTTCTGCTCCGCTTGCTCGCTCTGACGGGCCACGTCCAAAGCCATGCGCTCCAAGTCCTCCGCGCGGTGTCGGATGGAGCGCAAGGCGGTCGACTGGCGGATGGACAAGGTTGACACCATCTCCTGCAATTGCGAGAGGAACTTGGCATCGGCGCCATCAGTCAAGTTCACCAAGGGAGTCAACAACGGAAGCTGCAAAGGGCTCTGACCATCGGCATAAGAGTGACAAGACCAGAGGGCTTGACGGATGGCCTTCACTTCATTGGAACTCCGAAAGCCACTGGCATAAAGGTAGCGTTCAGGTCCGGCCACTCGTGAAGTCATCGGTTTCACGATCCGCACATCTGCGAAGAGTCGAGTGACCAAGAAGAGAAGTGACGAAGTGGCAGCGGAGAAAGTGGTATAGAGCTTGCACACAAAACGTCCTCCTGGAAGCAAACAGTTGGCGGCGGTCAGTATCTCTGCAAGGAAAAGGCGATAGAAGTAGAGCTCCAGAAGGTTGGCGGGTATCGCTTTGTCACTGAAGCCACCATCAGCCACACAAATCGAAACACCCCCAGTCCTTTCAATCGATCGCGAGGCATTTCGCAGGTTCTCTGGCTTCAGAAGGTCGCCAGTTCCATCAGCTCCCCAAAGAGCAGACCACTTGGGATGTCGCAAGAGCTCAGGATACCAATCATCTTTCTCTTCAGCCTGCCAATCACCATCATGTCCGACCCCGCTCCGTAAAGTAAAGCCAAAGCCCTGAAATCCCAGGGCCAATAAGTACTGGGACCAAGCACCAGGTCCTCCACAAAGATCCAAGAAGCGGGCATTTCTGGGGATGTCCTTCAACAAACCAACAGCTTGAGCCAATTCTTCCAGCTTCTCACCGGCGCGATTCTCATAGGACTTGCCGCTTCGCTCTTTCTGCTCCTCCTTGGAGTGAGGGAAAAGCTGATCGCGTGCCACCCGTTGCATCACTGACCTGGCCAAAAATCTGCGCAAGCCACCGAAAAATCCGTAAAGAACGAAAACGTGCCAAGGTCAAATAGAGATCTTAGATCAAGTAGAATGAGTTAATAGGTATCCGATGCACAAATCAAACAATAAGTTGTAATAATTTATTTGCATTTTTCCGAATACATTGTCATTCAATTTGATCGATTTCTGCCGGGACGTGCCTCGCTTTCGGCGGAGGAGGCTTGTTCCAAAGCTCATCCAGTTGGGCCTTAGCATCCCAAAGCATCTGCACCAGGTCTGGGCGTCCATGAGGGCCTTGGAGTAGTAGATCATGCGTCGCTGACGCGAGCTCCGGGCGCTTCAAATCCAAAGACTGCGATGAGGACAAGGGAAACATCAACAAAGTCTCCTGAAAAGGAGGCTGAACATCCAGTGCCGCCGGATAGCTCACTTTGGCAAGACCATTGAAATAGGCCTCCAGGCCTTCTTCACTCACAGTGGCTCGCCGTTCGACACGATGGCCCCACGCGACGAAAATACCCAACTCATCTCCCTCATCCCTTTTCGACCGCCTGCTATGCCGGCGCAGCTCGACACAAACTCCATCGACCACTGCAACCGCCATGCGAAGGGCCAATTCCATGACCTTCTCGTCACGCAAAAGCACAATGGCACACCCTTTGGCAGCCATCTTCCGCACTGAAACCACAGGAAGTGGCTCTGAAACGTCATGTCTGCTCTCACGAAGGCGCAAGGCAGTCGGGACTTGGGCAAGTGAACTCACAAAGGACGAGGGGATGAACACCGGAGCATTGGCGTTGAGCTGTGACAGCTTCAATCCCTTTGGAGCCGTAGGTACTTCGGGTGTGACAGGTGGAGTCACACGAGCCCTGGATGGCGAGGGAATGAACAACAAAGGAGACCGCGGGTTCTGCAAACTCTTCTTCTCATCGCGGCGAGGTGTACAGGGTGCCTGGTCCGTTGCCATGACTGACTTCGATTTCGCGAGCGCCAAGGCATGCACTTTAAGCCAAATAGCTGACATTAACATGAACTCAAAGCACCGTCATGGCACTGAGACTCGCCACATGTGGCCACCAAGATTCAGCCCCTAGCTGCCCCAGCCAGCCCACATGACTGCCATGTCGGATGCTTTGACAGGCGACGGCCGGGGGAGAAGTTTGCCAAACGCCTTCATCAAGCCATTTCTGCCGCTCCTGCAGTCACTCAAATGAGACCCTACTGGGAGCAAAGGACATCGCTACTAGGAGCAAGGATGCTACTAGGGGCTCCTGGCCTTACTACTAGGAACAGGAAGCTACTCGGAGCTTTTTCGAAAATCAGCACTCAGAGTCTGTGCAAAATCTTGCAGAAATCTCTCAGTCATCCATGCTGCCTTCGCAAGCATACCTTTCGCCGTCTTTTTAGTGATACTCTCGAGTAGTATCACCCCAACCTAAGGCACCATCCAGTCATGGTTCAACAACCTCACTGCACAGCATTGGTTGAATTCACTTCTTCAGCCCAGGGCCGCTATACCAGCAATCAAGAAACCTCGATTTCACTGCAAAACAAAGCACCACTCTTTGGCAAATAGCCATAGCGAGTGGTTTGTTGATTTCGTGCCATTTCATGTGTCAAGGTTCCAGCAGCTCAAGCACAGCAAGGAATAAAGTTTGCACCTCCGCGAGGTTCCTGATGCAACTCAGGAATCCTGGTGCACCTTCTGACGTATTTGATCCCTTTGTGCACCTTTTTTCGCTTCCAACCGACTACAGTCCGAAGAATCATCTTGCTGGTCTTTTTGAGCACTACTAAGTCCTGGCAAGGCATCCAAGTCATCCTGCAGGTGCGACAGAAAAAGAAACGTGACTTAGTCCAAGACATCCGCCTAGTGGACCTCCTACACTCCTGTCAGAACATCCGACATCCACCTACACCGGTCCTAGACTCCTACGGACTCCTATAGACTCTAGACCTGGCCTTCATATTCTGCGGCAGTTCCATGTCGGGACAGCACCTTGGCAACGTGGCGCTCTTCGACCAGGGCACCCGTCGACATGACGTGACGGTCGGTGGGTGACGGCCCCGAAGCCATGAACCTTTTTTCGACATTCCCATTGAGAGAACCAAACGGCATCGCTACTAGTAACAAAGGGCATCGATACTAGGAGCAAGGACGCTACTAGTAGCTCCTGGCATCGCTATTAGTAACAAGAAGCTACTAGTTACAAGACTGAATGTGAGGGCAAATTGTGACAACCGAGGAAATCTTCGACTACGGTAATTGATTCAAGTCACAGCAATGTATCGTCCTGGCATGCTCCCAGTGAGAATGCAACCGTGAGCAAAGTTAAAGAAAGTTCTGCCTGTGCTAATTGCTTTACCCCTACAAAGCCCTGGCCCGGCGGGTTCTGTATTCTCGGCATAAGCTGCCTCCTGCTCCTTGAAGGGCTGTGAATCCTCAAGAATTCAGAATTCAGCATTCCATCATGAAACTCTGTCTAGCCTACTATTGGGGCAACACCTGAACCTTCTAAAAGCTGGTGCCAAGCTTCAGCCACATTTCGCGCAGGGCTACTTCCGCCGAACCTAAGTGGATTGTGTGCTGAGAATGTATTCGGCACTTGACCAACTTGATACTGAAGACTGAAGAAGCAATATTGCATCAACCTTCTCAAAAACATTGGCTTCTGTATCTTGTAATTGGCTTATATGCTGACTTATATGCACCATGCTTCATGGCCAAGGTGTTTTTCTTTTGGCTCTTGTGCGAGAGCATTCATGACAAAAAGGCGTAGTAGCCCTCCAGCCATCGCAAGGTCCACTCACGTGCAATTGGCACTGGGAACACCTCGAGACCACCGGTGGTATACTCCACCTCATTAATCACAGGCTCACGGGTCTCGTGGAGGAAAATCGAGATCCGCACCTCAAAACTCGCTTTTGGCTCATGGACTCATGGCTCATCTCGATCAGGTGGGAGGAGGATAAGGCAAGGCTTCAAACATCTTCACACGAAACCGGTTTTGATGCGGCCGAGTGGCATAGTCGGTGTGAGGCAAGAGAGCTTCCAGCATCTGCACCGTGCTTGGCCAATTGACCAGTTCCAGTAGTGGATATCGACAGCTCAAGCACGAGCCATCTCGAAAAACGGTCCCCAACAACTCGGTGTGGCGCTCTCCGCTCCTTCGAACCTGGGGAAACCCAAACCAAGCGGAGCAAGAACGCTACTAGGGGCTCCTGGCCAAACTGCTAGGAGCAAGGACGTTGCTAGGGGCTCCTGGCCTTACTACTAGGAACAAGGACGCTAATTACTAGGGGCTCCTGGCCTTACTACTAGGAACAAGGACGCTGCTAGGGGCTCCTGGCCTTACTACTAGGAACAAGGACGCTAATTACTAGGGGCTCCTGGCCTTACTACTAGGAACAAGGACGCTAATTACTAGGGGCTCCTGGCCTTACTACTAGGAACAAGGACGCTACTAACCCGTCTCTGGCGGCTCTGTCAGCGTCTCAACGTGTCTCAACCATTTCTATGCCCCACATGTGGCCCCACGGCCAAACCCGAGATTCAACTCTCAAATGATCGATGTGAAATGTGGTCCACATGGATTGTGCTCTTCAACTAGTGCTTCGTGAAGCTGTCATCGCTGAAGACATGTTCCTAAGATTGGTGCGGCTAAGAGGCGTTGATCTCCCAGCGGCATAGATACAACGTGGACCACACCAAATGGCATGCCAAGACATCTGGCGAGACCCAATCAGCGCCCAACCTAACAAAGACAGATTTCAACATGTGGCTGCTCCTGAGGCTTGTGATATCTTTAATGGTTCATCGGCACATTGGTTCATGGATGTTCGTGAGAATCACGCAGAAAAGACTGTCAACCATTGTGCAGTACATTCCGGCAGCCTCATTCATATTAGTGCAAGCTAAGTGGCACATCTAGAAAGCTTGCGGGCAATGAAGGTCTGTACAATTCCTCAGGGTGACCACTTCTCAATGCTTCAAACGCCTTGTCGGCACTTTACCAGCCCAAACATCCAACATTCTCCAACCAGTCCAGCAAGAACACGCTGCCAGAATCAGAAGGGTTGATGAAAGAGCTCTGCTCTTTGATGCGCCACCGAAACACCTTTCGAAAACAATCACCCCAGTGTCCTCCACCAAAACACCCGGCTTCTTGCCGGCCTCCACAGTCCCCCAGTCGCCGCACTTTGGATCGACTTGGTCTTCGGACAAGGGATGAGCATAGGCATGTTGCAGCTGCTGTTGGATGTCTTCGGGCCGGAGGCTCTGGTTGGTCAAGCCTTGAAAAGTACGCGAAGCGTTTTACGCTTTTTACGCTTTTATGTGAAGCCCAACCGTATGTGATAAAATAGATGCTACAACATGCTACGACTCTTTCAGTAAGACTCCAGTTTGAAGGAGGACATCAAACGGAGAAGGTTTGTTCTTCTGCTAGGAAGCGCTCGACTCCAGAGTCCATGACAAAAACTCCCTGTGAACAGCAAAGGTGGGACGCTTTCGCCACATAGGCTCGTCCTTGAGCTTCCAGGGCCTCTCCGACACATGTACGACAAAATCTGCACCAAGTGTCGCAGGTGCTCAATTGGGACTGAAAACGTCTTGGCTATGTAAACACCTTAGATGTCTTGATGTAGATCCGTTACATTTACATAGGGAAGATCGGCTGAACATGTTCCATGATGCTTACACGCTCCGCATCCAAACCGATCCCACTTCCACATGGCGGCCTGCAGGGTTGGTAGCACATCAAAGTCCTCTGCGTAGGAGGCGTAGAAAATCTTCGGGACATGATAACCACGTGCTTCGAAGTCCTCGCGTCTGATTGGGACCAAGTGGAACAGTTCCTTGTCGAGTGGCTAAGAGGCTAAGAAAGGAAACCTGGTTCAAGAATCTGTCTCAAGCCAAACGATTGAGCCCAGTAGTTGATCGGGTAGTAGGTGAAGAGGGACGAAAAAAAGGCTGTTTTGGCCTCTTTAGCCCGAGAACGTTGCAAGCGAGCCCGTCCTTGGCAAGCTGAATTTTATCCTGGTATAGCTCCAAGCCAGCCGCTTTGTGCATCTGCCTGAAGCCCATGATAAACTCCAAGGTGTTCCTTGCACCAAGTGCCATTGGGTGTGGTGTTTCGAGGTATGTCTGGAGACTTGGATATTGTGCGGCAAGACATGCTCACAAGTGTCCATGAGTGTCTGACCAATCTCCAAGCTTCTCCATGCTGAGTTTCAAGAAGCTGGACATGTCATGCATTGGCAGGAGCTCAGGAACTGCTTGAGGCACCCTTCGCAGAAGGCTCTCACGGCACTTCCCATAGTAGATACTCCGACGTCGACTCTGAAGATCTTTCACCGCATAGTGCTCTCGAATCGCTTCGAAGACGGGATCAGGATCCGACCCTCCGGACCATCGCTGCTTGGCCAACTGGGAGCCTTGTCGTGACAGCGGCGTGACAAGGACGTGGTCACACCAGTTCCAGTTCAGTTTGGAAAGCTACGAACGGAGCAAGAAGCTACTAGGAGCAAAGGGCATCGCTACTAGGAGCAAGGACGCTACTAGGGGCTCCTGGCCTTACTACTAGTAACAAGAAGCTACTAGGGGCTCCTGGCATTGCTATTTGTATGTTGTGCTTTTGTGGAAGCGGGGGTGTCACACTGCGAGGATTCCAGCAGACGAGCTCTTTCCAGTAACAAGAAGCTATTAGGAAAAAGAATTAGAATTGGAATTAAACTTTAATAGAAAAACGATCTCATGCTTAGCGTGGTTCAATAGCAGCTTGGCCCATTGTAAAACCCAAAGACGGAGATCCATTCTTCATAGCCTCTTGAGTGCCCGGGCCTGAAAGAGGTGGCCGTGGCACCACGTCACCAGGTCGTGGTCCCAAGGGCAAGTTGGCCACTGGAAAGAGCTCGTCTGCTGGAATCCTCGCAGTGTGACACCCCCGCTTCACAAAAGCACAACATACAAATAGCAATGCCAGGAGCCCCTAGTAGCTTCTTGTTACTAGTAGTAAGGCCAGGAGCCCCTGGTAGCGTCCTTGCTCCCAGTAGCGATGCCAGGAGCCCACAAAAGCACAACATACAAATAGCACACGAACCTACTAGCGATGGCCTCCAACCTGCTAGCGATTGCCTCCAACCTGCTAGCGTGTTCGTTCGTGTCTAGAAATGCCTCCGCAAAATCTAAGAGCGTGATGTAGAGTCTACCGAGGATCAGTGATCAATCTTCAGACCAGACTATATAAACAAGCGCAAGTGGTAGGGAATTGCGATTCCAAACATGGAGTGCCTTGAACATTGCTGAGATTCCTAGCCTAGATGGCTCCAGAAAGCTCTGTTCTAGTAGCGATGCCAGGAGCCCCTAGTAGCTTCTTGTTAGTAGTAGTAGTAAGGCCAGGAGCCCCTAGTAGCGTCGTTGCTCCTAGTAGCGATGCCAGGAGCCCCTAGTAGCTTCTTGTTACTAGTAGTAGTAAGGCCAGGAGCCCCTAGTAGCATCTTTGCTCCTAGTAGCGATGCCAGGAGCCCCTAGTAGCTTCTTCATCACAACCGATTTGTGGACGGAACATCCTGGAACATCCTTTCATTGAGCTGAAGATACTGTCCTGCACGGCACCCAGAAGGCCAATGGAATCACTGTCATGCCAGGTCCTAGCCGCCGCGCCCGAGGAAAGCTGTTTGGGGGAGTGTTTGTTTCGTCAAGGCACCTAAGACACCGTTTTACATGTTCAAAAGCGACTCCTGTGCTAGCCAACCCCAGTGCTTCGGTCACATAAAAATAGATGCTCACCTCGCATTGGCACTGGCGACATTGAAAGCTGCGAGGAACCTAGCCACTGCCGCCTATTTCATTATGGCCTGGCTGGAGGAGCATACGGGACAAGTAGCAATTTAATACTGAAAAAACGTTCCACTGCCACAGAAATCCAACTCGAGTTGCCCATAGGCAGCTGCTGCACATGACTCGAAAGTTCAGGCTCGATGCAAATCCGAAAGGCTGCTCACCATACCTTGCGAAGTTCCAAAGTGATTAGACTTTCGGAGCATACAGCAATCGGAGCTCCTACTCTCACTGTCTACCCCTCACCAACCTCCTCTTGACCACCAAAGAAACAGACTCCACTGAAGCAGCTTGAAAAATTGACGCTTCCAAGGCCAAGCAGCTGCACGTGGCCAAGGCCCAGGTCGATGAGTTTGGGCGAGGATGGGAAGAGTTGGAGAGCCCTGGACCGCTCCTCGAAGGGAACCTCGCTTGGAACGGGATCAGCACATGACTCTCAAAACTAGATTATCATTCTAATAGTGATGGCCTTCAACCTAGCTTCTTGCTACTAGTAGTAATGACCTCCAACCTAATAGCGATGGCCTCCAACCTAAGAAATACTATCTATTTCGATAGAGTGGAATCCAAGTGTCAAAGAGCGAGAGTCCTTGGCCAAACGAAGCGTCAATTCACAACTGCTCATCCTGTTGCCTGTTTCTAGCATGGGGCAAATGTAGCGTTCAAGACCACTAACCAAGTGGAGACCGTGAATCGTTGCAGTGTCTGGTCCGGTGCACGATCAAGACCAAAGCGGTTCCTGGGTGCCAACAATCTGCAACAGAAAACTAGTAGCGTTCTCTTGTTCCTAGTAGTATGGCCAGGAGCTACTAGTAGCGTCCTTGCTCCTAGTAGCGATGCCCTTTGCTCCTAGTAGCTTCTTGTTCCTGTACGGCCAGGAGCTACTAGTAGCGTCCTTGCTCCTAGTAGCGATGC